AAAAAAAAAAACCATTACCATATCAATATACAAATTATATCTAATAAAAATGTGATAATTCTAATATTTCTAATAATTTGCAAAAGACATTCCCATAAATTGGAAGAAACGATACAATTATTATAATGTAATTTAAAATATAAAAACAAAATGTGTGTCCAGTTATAATTGTTTTCATCCGCCTACTTTTTTTTCTTTTAACCGTTCCACGAACATAATTGTAATGAATTCAACTTGTCAAGGGTAGAAAAGTGTTAGTATGAGTCGTGGTTATTTGGAAGGGTTATCGAGAGGATGATCAAGTGCTCTACTCGAGCGGTATTCATGCTGACGTGATGCCTATGACTCGTCTGTATAGAGTACAACACATATGTGTTACAATTATACACACACGCACAAATACACAGAAAATAGCAGTATACGTAGTATATATAAAGAAGGAAAGAGAAAGATGGTCATGCGTTAACCTTCCAGGGACTTCAATGCCTGAGTAAGAAAGGCGTTTGAATCGCTCCACTCAACGCAGTCTCTCATCAACGACGTACCAGTACCGTCTCTTCTTTCCTATATCTCGTTAAAAGATACTAATTAAGTGGTACTTCAATTAGCTAACACTCGAACACTCAATTACTGACAAAAAGTATATACACTTTAAAAAAAAAAAAAAGAAGAAGAAAACAAGCGTATGTTAACGTTTAAGTGTATTATTCAGGTTATTCGTAAAATAAATAGTTAATATATAAAATTATTAAGCGTTTTAAGAAAAGGAGAGATATAACAAAAATTTTATATTATATATTTAAATTAGTTTTTTTTTTTTTAATAAAAGTAACGAGGGGTAATATATGAATTCATAAGAGGCGAGTAGTTAACGTATCAAATTGAAATTTGATGATACGTCTTCAAAGTTTTTCTCTCTCTCTTTCTTTCCACAATAATGCTTATATTTATCCGTTCTTATTTCTTACTGTACTTTGAAAACCAATGTTCTGTTATAGTCGTGTTATTCTATCGGATCTAATCTACGAATCAAATTTTAATTTCATACATTAACTACACTCACCTCTCGTGAATTGTTATATTATCTAATTGAAGTATGCAATCCTTTTTCTTTCCTATCATACTTTAATTGATCAATGTAATTTTTTTTTCATTGTTTAACTGTTTATTTTGTAAATTAACGGTAATATCTATACCTTAATAGCGATATCAATCTATAATACATTTACGCATCTTTCTTTCTCTTTCGTTCAATAATCGTCGTTTACGTTTTGTATATTAATAAGAACGAATTCAATGGATTGGAATGGATAAAATGGTGTAAACGTTTTTTATTCTCTCCATTCTTAGATCTTCGAATAATAGGAAACCGTTAGAAGTATATCGATCGGAATAGAGAATAAAAATTTGAAATTCACCGTGGTCGTTTAAATCACGTGCCCGTAACATTCGGTGTCCTTGACAGAAAGATAGTTTTTATTTGTGTATGTGAGTATAAATAAGTATATACTTGTTGTATGTATATTTGTATATCGTGTACAGCCGTTAGATTGAGGACCTTCGGCTTTCGCAGGCGTCTCACGAACGTGTTGCGTAATTTCTGGATTCACGAACGTAAAACCTCGCTCCCAACCTGTTTTTAATGCCCACAGAAAGAAGAAAAAATAAGAAAAAAAAATAACGATAGAAAGAGAGACTAATGTCGGTTAGGTTTTACAATAACGTGATATATTCTACGTGTATTAGAAGAAGAATAAGAA